TCTTCTTCTTCTTCTTCTTCTTCTTCTTCTTCTTCTTCTTCTTCTTCTTCTTCTTCTTCTCTCTCTTTCTTCCTTTCATTTACTTATTTTTTACTTACATTTTTGTACTTATTTTTTCCCATTCCATTTTTCTTTTCTATTCATATTGTTTTTTATTTTCTCATCTTCTTTTCTCTCTCAACCGCTGATGGAAGTGGACTTTGTGACCTGTTAGTTTACCACACCCACTCACCCCATCATCATCTACCACTCCATCCAAGGCCCAGTGATACCATTCATTATGCTCACAGTAGGTTCATGCAGACAATACTTCCTTACAGTATTTGTCCCAAAGCAAAGCTGAAAAGCACAAAGAGGCAGAAAATAAGGAAGAATGGAAATGAGTAACCAGGGGGCAGGGAGGGAATCAAGTAGTGGTGTTCCACTGATGAAATTACAAATGTCATGAAATGAAATGTTTGTAATTTGTTGAATGTGAAACTAACTTTATCTGTTAAATCACACTCAACAATAAAAATAAATGAAAAACAAAAATAGCAAAAAAACCAATGAAAATATCATGTATGTGATTACATAAGTAAAACACTATCAAAATATCAACAGTATTTAACTGAAATAAACCCCTTACTTGACTTTGCCTAAAATAGACAGGAGTTCTCCAGATATTCACTCTACTCATAGCTTTACCCATATGAGATTTTTGTGCATTCAAACAGTTCAGATGCAGTTGCCCTTACATTATGATGTTGTTGGTTTCTACCATCGAGTTGGAATAAACTTATAAATGACACTCTAGTGAGTTTTCAGAGGAATTCAACTGTACTGGAGAAAACTTCCCATCTTACTCCTTTAGAGCTGCCGGAACATTTAAACTGCAGACCTTGAGATTTGCAGTGCAACTCCTTAACGCTGAGCCACAAAAGAATATGTTGAAAGAAGAGCATTGAATGTACCCTGGACCACCAAGAAAACAAACAGATGCATCCTGGAGAGGGTTAAACCAGGCTGCTCCTTGGAGGCAAGGATTCTGGGGCTTCGTCTGACATACTTTGGATATGTAAGGAGAGACAGGTCTTTGGAGAGGGACATCATGCTGGGTAGAGTAGAGGGACAGCGCAGGAGGGGAAGGCCCTCTATGAGGTGGATTGATTCAGTGACTTGGGTAATCGGGATGGGTGTGTCAGAGGCAATGAGATTGGCACAGGATAGAGCACGGTTTAGGGCTGTTGTACATAGAGTCGCTATGAGTCGCAAACGACTCGACGGCACATAACAACAACAACAACACTGATGCTCATAAATATGATTAATCAGAAAATTTTAAAAGAATTTTGCTTTCACTGTTGTGTTGTGTTGTTTTGGTTGTTTTTTTTTTTTTTTTTTTTAATCAGAAAATTTTAAAAGAATTTTGCTTTCACTGTTGTGTTGTGTTGTTTTGGTTGTTTTTTTTTTTTTTTTTCTCACTAGAAAGTAGTATAATGTAATATTCAACAATAATGAACCAGTGTGTTTTTCTGGTAATTCAAGTTGCTGAAATGGCTTCTTTAACTAGTTATCTGGCCTCACTGTAAGAGTGAAAAGAGTTAATTTACAAAATGTTTGCGAGTTGGAAACATAGATTTGTTTATTTACATGCCATAAATTTAGAAGGTGCAAAGATGAAGGCTCTTTACTAGTTGTATGACCTAAGAATTATATGTAATTTCCCAAACTCTGCATCTTCTTAGTGACTCTCAAATTAAAATCCTTGGAAATTTAAAAGCACAGCATCAAGCATATTATAAACTTCAATAAACGGTGGCCACTTCCACTATTACTAAGATTTTCAAATTAATATATTAAACACAGAATATCTTGTTTACAGTCTGGAATTGTGTTTTACAAATTTAATAAAGTAAGCACAGTCCTTTGACAATATGGAAACAAAATAAAAATTACCTAAGTAAGAAGGCTGAAGTTAAAGCCAATCCTTGTTTCTACTTCTAGATCCTGACACAAACCAGTTTAAGTCAATATTATTAGTTGAGCAAGTACATACGAAGGATCATGGAAGCCACAGACACAACAAATTAATAAAAGTCTCCCTTTCACATACTTCAGACTTTCATGGTGGTTTGTCAAGCCTTTTATATATATTTACACTTTATGATCTTTGCATATCCTCTAATGGATGTTTAGAACACTTCTTCAGGCACAAAGTTTAGTCTCTACATTCAAGTTCCCATTTAAATGCCATTTCATAGAAAAGTATTTCCCTGATATCGCTATGTATGAAATAGTAAATGACTGTCCAGCCCCCTAATCCTTTAAAGGCTCTTTACCTTTTCTTGTTTTTATTCATAACTATGTGACATTTATTTTCTATTTATTTCAAGACAATATATATATATATATCATTTGACATTAAGTACTTTGTTTTAGGCACTACTCTATCTCTTGTGATTAAAGTATAGTTCACAGGTTGACATTGTTGTTGTTATGTGCCTTCGAGTCGCCTGCGACTCATAGTGACCCTATGTACTGTTAATAGCCCTAAACCCTGCTCTATTCCATGCAAACCTTAATGTCTCCAACACACCTATCCCCATTATCACAGTGACTGAATCAATGCACCTCATCGAGGGTCTTCCTCTCCTGCGCTGTCCCTCCACCCTCCCAAGCATGACGTCCCTCTCCAAGGACTGGTCCCTCCTTGCAACATGTCCAAAGTATGTAAGACGGAGCTTCAGAATCCTTGACTTCAAGTAGCAGCCCAGCTTTGTCCTCTCCAGGATAACCTGTTTGTTTTCTTAGCAGTCCATGTACTCAGTAAATATTTATTGAAATCATTAGTGAACAGTATATATGTTTGTATATACGTATATATGTTCTTTTTTAGTATCGCATACTCCCCACTGTTCAATGCTCTAATGTTTACTATTACTATGTCTTGCCACAATACACAGTTTATCCTTAGTTATAGTCTGGTATGTCAGCATCATCTTTTCTTTTTCTGTTGCAGGTGTGGAATTCAACTTGCAAAAACTGGCAGACAGCAACAACTGATCTGGAAAAATATTACCTGTCCATTTTTTATACAATCGAGTTCATTCTCGGAATCCTCGGAAATACTGTTGTAGTTTTTGGTTACCTCTTTTGTCTGAAGAACTGGAATAGCAGCAATGTTTATCTCTTTAATCTTTCTATCTCTGACTTGGCTTTTTTATGCACCCTTCCGATGCTGATAAGAAGTTATGCCAATGAAGACTGGTTATATGGGCGCGTGCTTTGTATAAGTAACCGATATGTGCTTCATGCAAACCTCTACACCAGCATTCTTTTTCTTACTTTTATTAGTATTGACCGATACCTGCTCATGAAACATCCTTTCCGGCAACACCTTCTGCAAAAGAAGGAGTTTGCCATTTTCATTTCCTTGGCTATCTGGGTTTTGGTAACACTACAGCTATTGCCCATGCTTAACTTTATAAATTCTTTTAAACTTGACAATCGCACCTATTGTAGAGATTATGCAAGCTCTGGGGACCCCAAACAAAGTCTTATTTTCAGCTTGTGTCTGACATTCACAGGATTCCTCATTCCTCTTTCTATGATGGGCTTCTTCTATTTCAAGATTGCTCACTTCCTGAAGCAGAGGCGCCGACAACTGACTACCGCAATGCCCCTGGAAAGGCCACTCAACTTAGTTACCATGGCGGTGATGATATTCTTAGTACTTTTCACTCCGTACCACATAATGCGGAACGTGAGGATTGCTTCACGTTTGGAAAGCTGGAACTTGTCCCATTGTACTAAGGTCATCATTCATGCCTTGTACATTGTAACCCGACCGTTGGCGTTCCTAAACAGTGCCATCAACCCTGTCTTCTATTTCCTCATGGGAGATCACTTCAGAGAGATGTTGATAAATAAACTAAGACAACAGTTCAAACTCATTACATTCTGTAGAAGATGAACTTCTGAACTAATGTATTCATTCTGCTGGTTTTGTACATCCATCTGTAAGCCAGGGAGACTTGGTTTTGGCTTGTAAATGTAAATGACAAGAGTCCATGGACTTGTCTTTGATGTGAAGGTACTGCACCAAGTATGTAAAAAGAAGAGAATGAGAAGAATTTACCCATTTCTTCACCTTAACATTGAATGAAATTGGATTTGTAATGCCTTATCTTTAGGCATGTATGTCCAAATTTTTAAGCCTTGTAACAACTTCTTAATGGATGTAAAAGGAGAATATGAAAAAAGTCAGCAAATTTTCTACATTTTATCATTGACTGGTATGTAAAAAAAAGTAAATTATTAAGATTATCTGTACTCATTATAGTCATATGATGCTAAAATTTTATGAGAAAAGTGAATAACAGGAAAAGACATTCAATATTAAATACTGTGGTTATAGATTTTCTTTTAAATTAATTTTAATAAATTTTAAAAGTCAGTCAGAAAGAAAATTAGTTCAATATAAGGTTTCTTTATACTGAACATGAATAGTATCAATTTGTAATCTGTCATATCTTCTATGTTGCACGGTTTACATTTGAAAGAATTGCTTTGAAGAGTTAAAAAAATAGAATATAGGAAAGGATAAGAAGAAATTGGAACCCTCATACCCTGTTGGTGGGATTGTAAAATGGTACAACCACTCTGGCAGGCAGCTTGACACTTCCTCAAAAAGCTAAGTGTAGAAACTCCGTATGACCTGCTGTTAGGAATGTACCCCCAGGAAGTTAGAACTGAGACACACATGGAGATTTGTACACCAATGTACAACGTGAAGCAGCATTGTTCACCAGTCCAAGAACATGGCAACAGTCCAAATGCCCAACCATAACTGAATGGATCAAGAAATTGTACATTCCCATGATGGAATGCTATGCAGCACTCATGAGCAGTGATTTTGAGAGACTGGAGAGAATTAGGCAGAGTATACTAACTCATTCTCATAAGAACAAACTCTGCACAAGACCATTATTGCAAAAATCAGCAGGTAACTCATGTAACATGTATGGGGACCCAAGAGGGGAAATGATAGGAGCGGAAGAGTGAGGATGGGAAAAGGGGAATCCATAGGGTCGTACTATTTGGTGAGTGGAGGTGGGGGGTAAAGGGAATGGGAAAGATCCAGCAGGAATCTGAAAAGACAGGGTAATGGTGGCATCGTCCAATGGTGATTAATTTTATACAACACAATGCAAAGAAATGCCAATGAGGGAAAGTGTGAAACATACACAAAAAACCCCCACAATGTACATGAACGAAACACAATATACCTGAGTAATTATATGTATACCAATAAAAATACAGAGCTGGAAAAAAAGAACAGACATGCTCAAGCTTGCCTTTCAGGAAATGATTTTTGAATACAGTCACTGGGTGGTAAATATGATTAAGTGCCTTCCTGCTAACTGAAAGAGGGGGATTCTAATCAACCCAGAAATGCCTAGAAAGAAAGCCCAGGGAACCTACTTCTGAGAGTAGCTCTGCTCTGTGTACCTGAGATCTTCCCAAGTCAAAAGTGACTTAAGGTCATTGAGTTTGAATTATGTTTTTTTTAAAAAACAAGTAATCCTTGGAATCTATTCCAAGAATAAGTGCAAGAATGTCATATTTCGAGAACACAGAAGAATCTGTCATTAAGACTCAAACAAAACAAGATTGAGAACACTATTTTTATAATGATGGTACCATCTAAGATTTTATTATTACTGTCTGCTCACCAGTTGAGATATAGTAAAGTGCATTAATCTTGTTACTTTTGACTAAAAAAGGAACTTTATGTATATTTATACCATAAAACGAAGGAATAAGAGAAATTAAAAGGTAACACCATGGAATTAATTCTCTTTTTTTCTAGGGAAAGTCAGTTTTTCTTACTCCTTATTCTTATTTCTTATATTTTTTTCTATTTTAATTGTTATTTTAAAGAAAGTTTACAGCAGTTGGATTTTCATTCATTCATTGTTGCACATTTCCCCCTCTCTCCCTCCTTTCTCCCTCCCCCAGTTCATTTTTTTAAAAAATCACTTATTATTGCACAATTACCTCCTTCCCACACTACCCCCTGCCCCCAGTCATCTTTGTATTGTACCTCTTATCTTGAGCTATTGTAATGCATATAATGCTAACCATATATTTCTTTTTAACAGTTTTTTCCTTCACCTGTTCTAATGGAGGGTTCTTTATCTTTCCACTCTTAGCCTATCCTCCTCCCAATCCCCCATATCAGTCTTCTTTTATAACAGCAAAGCTATGCAGTGTTTGTCAGTTTGTGGTTGAGCTATTTCACTCAGCATAATGTCCATCAGGGTCACTCATTTTGTGTAATAATTTATGAGTTCATTGTTTTTCAGTGCTATGTAGTATTCCATTTTATAAACATACTACAGTTTCTCTATCCATTTTTTTGTTGATGGGCACTTAGGTTGTTTCATCTCTTTTCTACAGTAAATAACAAATCAATAAATATGAGTATACATTTATCTGTTTAGATGGTGGTTCTCATTTCTTTAGGGTATATTCCCAGTAGAGACATTGCAGAGTCAAATGGTATTTCTATTTCCAACTTTTTGAGAAAGCATCAAACTGCCTGTCATAGTAGTTGCAACATTTTAAACTCCCAGCAGTAGTGAATAAGGGTTCAAATCTCTCCACAACCTCACCAGCATTTACTTTCATTGTTTGCTCCTCTGCTGAACTTTGCTGTTGTTGCTGGAGTGAGATGATATCTCATAGTCATTTATGTTTGCATCTCTCTGATAGATAGGGATTCTGAACATTTCTTCATGTGTCCATTTGCCATTTGACTGCCTACTTTGGTGAAGTGTCTATTCGTAGGACCTGTCCATTTTGAGATTGGCTGGTTTACTTTTTCTTGCTGAGGTGCTGGAGTATTCTATAGATTTTAGATAGAAATCTCTTATCACATATGTCATTACCAAATATGTTTCTCCTAGTTTGTGGCTTTCCTTTTTTTAGTCTATGAAAGAATTTTTTGATGTGTATAAGGATTTGATTCTTAGAAAGTCCCATTCATCTATTTTGTTCTCTTCTGGTTGTAGGTTTTTCATTATACTTGGAAGATGGTTCTTACTGTGGTTTAGGGCTTCCAGAGTTCTTCCAAGCTTTTCTCTGATGACATGTATAGTCTTAGGTTTTGCTTCTATGTCCTTTATTCACTTTGAGTTGTTTTTGCATATGCTGTGAGGTGTGAGTCTTGTTTCAGTTTTCCACAAAAGGTTTACCAATTTGGCCAACACCATTTGTTAAAAAGGCTGTCATTTCTTCTTGTCAGAACTCAGTTGACCATAGGTAGACGAACTGATTTCTGGGTTCTCAATTCCATTATATTGAGCTATATGTCTGTCACTGTACCAGAACCATGCATTTTTTAAATTTTAATTTTTTAATTAATTTTAATGAAAGTTTTCTGAGACTTTGGATTTCCATTCATTCATTGTTGCACTTTTCTCCCTGCCCACCCCTCCCCCCAATTCATTCTTCTTTTTGAAAAGTAAATGAAAAATTCTTTCATTTTCTGTCTTGTTATCTTTTGCCACTGCTACTGAGATGAGATTATATTTCATTGCGGTTTTGATTTCCAGTGATTTTGAACATTTTTGATGCATGTGTGGGCCATCTGATTGTTTTCCTTTGTAAAAAATTATTCCATATCTTTTGCCCATTTTGTGATTATTGTATACTCATTTTTTTAGTGATTTGGGGCTAATCATTATCTTATTATATACTTTCCCCTTAGCCTATCTTAACATACATCTATTATTCATTTACTAATTAATTTTTTGCTAATTTACTCCCCTTTCCATCCTTGGTAAATCAATCAAGAATGTTATTCAGTGTAGCAGTTTAGATAAGTGGACTCATACAATTTGTCATTTTGTGAGTGACTTATTTTACTCAGCAAAATGTCCTCTAGATTTATCCATAATGTTTTATGAAATCTTTGTCCTGTTAAGTTGCATATTACTCTACTGATGTGTAGGTACCAAATGTCTTTACCTATTCATCAACTAATGGACATTGATTTGTTTTTATCTCTTTGCTATCATATAAAATTTATCATATCAATAAAATTGCAATTAACCTAAGTGTGCATATGTCTGCTTGTATCGCAGCTCTTATTTTTCATGATATAAACTTAGAAGTGAGACTGTTACATCAAATGATTACGGAAGGACCAAATTCTTTTTCCACCATAGTAGTTGTAACATCCCAGTAACAGTGCATGAGAGTTCCAAACTACACACACTCTTTCTAGCATTTGTCACTTGATATATTATTAGAATTTGCTATTATTATTGGAATGAGAGATTACTGAGATCAGTGTTATTTTTATTTGCATCTTCTTAATAATTAATAATTTATAGGTTCTTTTTCTACTCTTTTTTTCACTTTGAGGTTATGCTATAAATTACAAGGGGTCCCCCCCCCATGTTTAAAATGATTCACTCTGTCTTAGAATTGTCTTGACTTCTGCATTTAGAACTACTGTAGTCATGTTCTCTCTTCCCTTTTACTTTTCGTTGTCATTTATTGACTGGTATCTCTGCTTCCCTATTGTAAAATGTGTAGGTTTCTTTTTCTTTTAAGGAACTCTGGTGGTATTCTTAACCAAGAAGTCAGCATCTGGGACCTATCAGGTTCTCTGTAGGAGGAAGGTAGGTACCATCCTCTAGAGAAGATTTGTAGCCTCACAAAACTCACAGAGAGTAATTAGTAATTGGAATTGATTGATAGCAATTAATTTAAGTTTATTTTATATAGTGATAGTTCATCACCTGTCTGTCAGTTTGCCATACTGTGGTGGCTTGTGTGTTGCTATGATTTTGAAAGCTATGCCACTAGTATTTTAAAATACTGCAGAGTCACTCATTGTGGACAAGTTTCAGTGATGTTTCTAAACTATGACATACTAAGAAGCAGGACTGACCATCCACT